CATTTATTTTCGCGATTGCAGGATGTTTATAGTTGGTAAGATTGCTTTGAGATCTGAAAGTTGAAAATCCTAATTCAGTAAGACTATATTGCATTAGCCTTAGTGCTCTCATAAGCACCTCCAGTATTCTATGCATGACACGTCCCGGGAAAAGAAATTGATATTCCTGGTGACTTGATGATTAAAAAGAATCTGTATGAAACCCTTAGTCTAAGAGTTAGCGTTTGATGCTATGCTGATGCACTCAAACAAGTGGTACAGGTCTTCTGATATGCATCAATTAAGGTATAGGCATTTCTTAGGCTGGGGTCAATTCTATAATAAAACATTATCGTACGTCTATTCCTTGTTACCCATTTGAATCAACTTGATCTGATGCTGAAGCATGTAGCACACATACGTCACGTAGAATTAACATACTTCTCAAAGAGTTGAAATCAACATGATGTTTCTTGCTTGATACTTTGAATGCCTGATGTGCCTGTAATTCAATTTTGTGGCTTTGCTAGAAATTCATTCTTCATTGCATTTTAGATGATGCCTTAAAAATTTGGAGTCATCAATTTCGGCTAATTTTCTTTGCCGCATATTTACTGGAGATAACAAAAAAAGAAAGGGCAGTCAGTACTCTAAAGCAGTGAGAGAATTTTATCAGCACTTGGTTATCTCTGCTATTTGAGTTTGGAAGGATTGTTATAGGGTTAACTCAAGCATATAAAACCAGATTTGTGACTATTGCATTAGATATCTACTTTGTGTTTTATCCGAGTACGGCGAGTAGTTTACTTTTTGACTGGGAAATGATACATGGATGACTTTGCTGAAGGGGTTGCAGTGGGTTTGAACTTTCTAGACATTTACAGAGGCACCTGGACATGAGTTTGATTCTTAGCATGTCAACATACATATTTTTTGTTTGTTTGATAAGACAGGGACTGTGATAGCCGGATAAATATAGAAATATGCTGAGTATATTTTTTGTTGAACATACTTTCAACGAGTTTGATGGCCTACTATTTATTTTAGCAACCCTTTAAAGTAGTTTGTATCATTTAGGGAACAGTTGTCTGCTATGTGTAGTCTCAGACATTATTTTCTGGTATGGTTTGTTAATGCCAATTTCACATTGTATCTCTTGCTATGGTAGCCCATGTTCCTTGTATCCATTCGTCGCATTCAGTCAAGACAATGCACAGGAGCCCCTCAAGTTTTAAGAACGCGAGATGTGGCTAGAAGAGCAACTTCTGTATTTATTTTCTTAATTAATTGTAGATTTGTTGTTTATATGTACTAATTAATGCATTTTGTGATTTGATTTGAATAGACTGTGAGGCCATCACCTCTCTCCAGTGGTTTTAATCATCAGGGTTATCGTCCCCATGGACCAGGTGGTTCTCAATGGGGTCCGCGAGGTCCTCATCTACCTCAGCCATCTTCGTATGATTATCCGCAACGAGGACCTTATCCATCCCATAATCCTCAGTACCCTCCTGCTTATGGGGGTTATCCTCAACATATGGGTCCAAGAAGTGGCTATGGTTCTGGTTGGGAGCAAAGGCCACCTTCTAGCATGCCACATGGTGGTGGTTATAATTACTATGGTGGACAAGTAGCTGATGCTCCATTATCTGCCCAACATTCTGCTCCCGTTCCTTCTCATGCTCCTGGCCCGTCTCCTAACCCTGCAATGGGTGCACCGTCCCAGGCAAATTACAATTATGGGCAGCCACATGGTCCAGATTATGGTCATCCGGCACCTTATTCCCAGGCTGCACCTCCTCAGCATAACTATGGGCATGGATACGAAGAACCAAAATATGATAATCATGCTCCAACACAGCACCCCTATGGAGGATATGCACCTTCGCAGCAATATCCACAAACTGGAGCTCATCCAGGTCCACAGCAACATTATGGCAAGCCCCCACCATACAGCATGCAATCACAAGCTCCAACTCCTCAGTCTTATGGCCCTCCCAGGGCTAATCAACCAGGCGATGCGGTTTATCAGGGTTCTGCACCACCTCAATCATACGGTCCGAATGTTCTAGCTCAACAGTCATATCCATATGCATCCAGTGGACCTGCTCAGCAGACGTATCCTGCGTATGGTTCTGCACCAGCTGCTGATGGGTACAGTCAGCCACCACCCGCTTCTGGCTCGGGTTATCCACAACAAGGCGGGCAACCTGTTAGCTATGGCCAGCCTGGTGCACAGCAGGCAGCTGGCGGCTATGGACAGGCAGCTCCTACTGCAGGGTACGCACAATACCCATCTTCTCAACAAGGTTACGCTGAGCAGGCTGCTCCAAATGCAGCAGGTTACGGGTACCAGGGGTCTCAAGACCCTGGATATGGAGCCGCCCCTGCAGCATCATATGGTGCACCAGCAGCTCAACAAAATTATGATCAGTCAATCCCCCAGTCCGCCGGTTATGGAGCTGCACCACCAGCTGCATCAGCTGGTTATGGGAAGACGGTGTCCCCTCAGCCTGGTTATCCCCAGTACGACTCGAGCCAAATGTATACTGCTGCACCTCGTTGAATATTAGACTAACTTGTTTCTTTTGTCATAATTTCATGTTGTTGTTTGATGCCAGACTCCTTTTCCCAGTCGTAGTTAGGCCTAATCAGACTGCTTCGCCGAACTTTTGCGCTTACTGTGTTTCTACTGATGTAATGCAGCGCTAATGCTTTATTAAATTGTGAACCTTAACGAGGAATGAGAACGAAAATCGTCCCTGTATGTGAATTTCTTTTTCATTAATTTTTCACGAGTCCTTTTGCTCGAAACGCTTTTATGGTAAGCATGTTGAAATTTTTTCTACAAATTCAAGCGCTTTTTGAAGTACTTTGTAGGTGTTTCTTCAAAAAGCGTTTTTGGTGGTCAGGAATCAGTTTGAGTCATTCCATAAACAATTTCAAACCACCTGGACGCTTTTGATGGCGCTTGGTCAAAGAAATTAAAAGTGCTTGTAAAAAAAGCACTGCTAAAGAATTAATTCCACATTTTTATTTATGATTGACACAACATGCATAATCATCATAAGTTTGGAGGGGAATTTACATGGTATTGGAACACCATCATTTAAGTATTTTTTGTGAATGGTACGACGCCAGATGAAGAAAAATTGACACACTTCGTTTTATGCGAGATGTTACGGTAAAAAAGAGCTCACGCCACGGTAATAGAGTAGTCGTGTCACAACAATTTTTACACGACTTTAGAAAAGGACAAGAAAGTAAATGGGGGTAGTAGTTAAAAAGGAAAAGAAAAGAAAATTAGAAAAAAGGCGTAGGTAGGGTTTAATGTTTATAGATTCGAGGTGGGGGTGGGGGCGGTGGTGGGCTGTGTGACTGTCGATTGTCTAACAAATGGCAGAGGCTTTCAGGCAGCTCCCTCTCTCTCTCTCTCTCTCTTGGAGTCATTTGCGTTCCGAGCAAATGCAAAGAGAAAAGACGGTGAAGGGAAAAGAGAGTATCTTGTAGGATCCGCAACAGAAGTTACAGAAGTGGTGGCCTGAATCCTGTGTCGAGACTGACACCTCACCATCTTCTTCCAACTCATTTATTATCTTACTCCACGTCGTCACGTGCCAGTTGCCTCCATCCAACTCCAATTTCGCATTCCTTCCCTCCCTCCCATACTCTATTCCACAAACAAAAAAAATTATTGTAATAGTCCTTCAACTTTTACTCAATTAATATAATAGTTTTTTAACTAAAAATTTATAACTATTAGTTCCTTAATTCCTCAAAACTGCATCTATGATCATTTCTTCATCTTTGTTAAAACTTCTGTTAAAATGAGTTACGTGTCACACGCATGATGCTGAATCAAAGGACAAATATGGAAAACCAAATCAGAAAAATTGTAGCAATGGTCTCTCAACTTTAACCCAATTGGAGAATGGGTCCCTTAACTTTAACCTAATTGGAGCAATGGTCCTTCAACTTTAATCTAATTATAGCAATAAAGCTTCCAACATAATTCATTTTAATGGAATTGTGACGGAGTTAACAAAAATGATTATATCTACACTTTTTTATGAGTTAAGGGTTTAAAATTGAGAAACTATTGCTACAATTTTCTCTCCACAAAACTACCCCAAACCCTAAAATTAAATTAAATTGTAAATAAAAATCCATGACTTTATCTTGTGAGGTACCATTATTTTTATTCATTTTGTATATCACTTACCAAGAAAAGGAGGATATTCTTTCATATATTTTAGTATTTTTATTTCAGCTTACTTCGTTCAAAATTTTTGCTTTTATAGTCACAACAAACTTATAACTTATCTTGGAGTTTCAAGCTAAATTATGATTTAGAGAAATACTAAATAAACTCTCTTAAAAGTAGAATTTTTTATCATCTCATGTTTTTTATACAATATTATATTTTATAATGTTGGCACACGAGTTAATGCTAAATTGTGAGATGAACTTTGAAAGTCTCCTTAGCATTTCTCTACGATTTAATACAATGATATAGTTATATTAAAGGAATGAAGGAATAAATTGGTTGCGAATTTGTCATACTTGATATTCGAACCTAAGATCGCTTACTTATAAGAGGAAAGAAATACTATTAGACCGTGATACTAACTGACAGACTAAATTATAGTTTAAGTTTATGTGCTTTGAGGGAAGTTCTCAAGTGATGGTTTCGTCGTATCCTGTTTCTAATTGTCTATTATTTTTCTTCTTATGATAGAAATATTTTATGGTGTTCAGAAATGATGTTTCAAAGTATTTTATACTCTTAAGATCTGTAACCGTTTAAAATATTCGATACCTCGAAGCACTGTAATAAAATTGCCTTATGGCATTCATAAGATAATGTTAATAACAAGAATGAAGAAGTCAGTACGTATTAGTTATTACATCATTCGATAATGCCTTAAATTCCAAGAAACAGGGTTAGGAAAAACATGGTTGAATTTAAAATATATTTTCTTCTGAAATTCAGAACTAAAAAATGTCAGCTATACAAAAAGGGGCAAAAATAAACAACTGTTACTGCTGCACAGACCACGTTCATACCAAAAATACCAAAATACAAGAAAATTAAAATAAAAAAAACATTAATAATGGAAAAATTCATGAAAATATTCAAGGATTGTAGAGCAAATTCCCACACTTGCATTTCCAGCTCATTGGCTTATAATTTGTAATGTCATCTCCTCTGGAGTAAGCTACGTTCTTTGGGGCAGTTTTGGAAAAAGAAACAGAGGAGCTGCTTCCATGGCTTCTGATTTCATTAACTTGAGGAGTAACTGGAACCTGAACCGCCACGCAACGCCCGCAAGCGCTGCACCTCCGCTCGCAGCTCGGTCGCACTGACCCTATTTGACGAGCGCTGACCGCCACCCCTGCTTTATTTTCCTGAAGAACTCTTGCCGGAGCAAACTCACTTGGTTTGCTGGAAATTGGTCTACCACCTGAGAAACAGAAAGTCAAAAAACCCAAAAATTAACTTACAAATTAAACAGAACCAATGTGTGTTTGCTTCTTGTTTCGAAGAAGTTGGTTTTTTCCTTAATTTTTTCCCATAAATTTGAATAAAGGGATAGGATTTACTGACCTTCAGCCATGAAAATCAGATGGGTCGAGCTCGAAACCAAGAACAGGAGGATGGAAATGTAAATATTTCTATTTTTGTGGCAAAAGATGCAATTTTGAAAGCCGCCCATTTCTCAGAAGACGATGGAAATTATGATTATATGAACAAGCTTGACAGAAACAAGATCAGTTTATTTTTGCAGGGTGTGAAGGTTTCAGAATGTGAAAAGTAAAAAACCTTGATGGGAGGAGACAAGTGGGATACAATTAAAATATGAAAAAGTAGACAGAGAGCAGTTTCAGAAATTGAATGCCAGCTCCATCAGTCAGAACGATGACTCTGAAGATATATCTATACATGTATGTATATATATATATATGTATATATGTATACGGTGGTAACGTGGAGGGCAGAGGAGCACAACGGCGAGATCAAAGCGAGAAGGGAAGGACCTCAGCTGCGACCTCGAGTGATGGGCCTCCGAAAGACCAGGTAATTCGTACAACTTATGAATTATGATTCGAAAGCAAAACAGACACTTTATGAGCTTTGCATGCAGAAAAGAAAAAAAAAGGACCACGGAGTGGGAGCCCACTGTGTTCTGTATAAACATAGGGAAAGATACTCATGTGTATGTATTTTGCGTCATTTTCGAGTTTAACTAATCGTCCAGTAATTTATTCGAGTTTTCTCTTTCTTCTCTGTAAGTTTCGTTATGTTGGTACTTCAACTAATGTGATCTTTTAATCTAATTTAGTGCACATCTTGTCTAATCTAATTTGATTATAAAAAAAACGAGAACTAAATTGAAGCTCTTTATTAGTTGGGTTCGATTTGGTTTAATGTAGAACTGATATATGATACCAAACTAATCCGAACCTAAACTATTCTACTTTGGTTCGACTGGTTCCATTTAGTTTTAGATCTTAGCCATTTTAAAGCAATAATTAAGAATCATATTGGTCCAAACCGTTTCAGTTCAACTTTTAAATCAAAGTTGACTCTTTCAAACACGGTTTATTCTTTCCAATTTATCATTGCAAAGGGCTTTTGCCCACCCCTCAAAAACTCAATTTGGAATGAACTTTGCGTCGTTTGACTAACATCTGTAATGAATTAATTTATAAGGCTGGAAATCGAAAATCTAAGTGACATACGAGGACTACTAGTGCAATATAGCACATTGTTGATAATTTATATAAGGGTATTAATTACTTGGTTTTTTGTTTGTTTTAGGGATTGTTGTGAGAGTCTGGGGTGCTCCATTTTAACATGCAAGAGCGCTTTGTTTGTTTCTTATTTCTTCAAAACAGTACATGCATGGACGTCGGATTCCATGGATATCCCCAGAAAGATATTATTCATGGATATCCCCAGAAAGCTACCATTCATGGGTGCGCATAGAGGAAAATGGATTTTGGGGATGGAGGCAGATTCTCTGCTCTCTCACTTCCCGTGTCCTCCCATGCCTTTCTATTTGTATGGTTACGATTAAAGCATGTCAATATTTTATATTACTATTCTTTTTTGTTTTATTATCTCTATAAAAAAACAATATAAAATGTTGACGTGGACCACACAAAACAGGAGGACACGGGAGGGCACGAGAAGTGGGAGGATAGAGAATCTGTCTCCTTTTGGGGACTCTCGTCCTTGATCGAATATAAGCCGTTGGATTGGGATTGGACTTGTACCTCGTGCGCAATGAGATTAGTTATTCATAAGTTCCCAAGCAACCGTGTATGGAAAAGAAGTCTGCGTCGTCAAATCAGACGGTTGCTTGCTTTTAGCCAAAAATCTGAGGGACACGAGCTGGAGTTGGAAAACTCTGATTCGGATCGGACCCTTAAATTTTGACAAGAACTGGGGGATCCATCCGTAAAAGTAAGACACCTTCAAAAGCTGTCATCTTTCGGGACTATCAATCAATTCATATTTTGCATTTCCACGTTTCCACCACATTTTTTTGTATTTCATTTGCTTTATTTCACATCATGCATGAAATCAACTCATATGAGTATGATGGGGTTCATGGTAAGGTTAGATCACGTCTGGTTTGATTCGATTTTACTACAAGTCGCAGTTAACCGTTAAGTGATGTGTTTTGGTTCGTTTGGGGCAAATAGTAGGAGAAAATCAAGCTAAGTAGTTTGGTTCAAGTGGCTTGATGGTTTCGAGTGTTGAGCTCAGTTACAATATAGCACGTTTAAGTGCTAAATTAAATAGGATACTTTATATGTTATACAACAACAATTTGAGAAATATGTTTATCGCACGCTGATTATTTCACTTCATGCACACTTCTATCTTTTTTTACTTACTGAATTTGAACAAATGAAAGGAAACTTAAGGTTCAAAAATAATAGAAGTGTGCAAAGGTAAAAAATGTGTAGTATTAATAAAGATATTGTTTGACCGTGCATGGTATTGTTTTTCAAAGCATAACTTGCATGCACGTGCCTGGTTTCACAACCCTTTATTTTAAGATTCTTGATCTGTCCATTAAGAGCAATGAGGTGACTAAATTTATAAACAAAATTTTGTAAACTAAATGATAAGGAAGTTAATGATATTACTCCAGCGTTGGCAAACGTGCTCATTTTTTTTATTGGTGATTCATCATTTGGTTTACAAATTTTGTCTACAAAATTTAGTCTTCCTAGCATTATCCATTCATTAATATAATTTGACACATTAAACAGTGACTGTGTACAAATTTATTAATATGAGCCCTCCTTGTTTTAACTCTTTTTTAATTCAATTTCTCCTCAATTTAATTCCTCTTATTTTAATTACTGTTACGTAAACGAGCCATTAATGTATATCCAAAACAATGAGGCCTCACCTAAAATTTGTGTTGCGTATCTCTCCATAACAATAACATGCAAGAATACATTGAATAGTAACAAACTTTTAGTCACAGGTCAAGTCAAAAAGAAATTGTGGCAAATGCTCAAAAAGTTGTGACCCAGTGAAAATTGGCAGCTTCCACAATCCAAAAGCATTTGAGAATTGAGAGTCTTTGCGTGTTGAGTGGGTGACCATATTGATTCACTTCTTCTGATAGCATAATTTGTATATCATCTGTACGACGCCACAGACAATAATAGTGATCCCAATTTATATAAGTTATTTTTCGTTCTCTGTTTGCACAGAAACTCTTACTCTCCTCTCATCTCATGCATACTTCGAATTTATTATGAATATATGTTGCAGCCTAGCTAGTTTATTTAAAACTCCAAACAAATCTTAGATCTCTGAATTACATCAAACATAGATGTTGATCGCATGCATTACGTTACTTTCCAATGACATTACAAGAATTTTAATCTTATACCTCCCGTTGATCACGGTAGAGTTATTAATCACAGCAAGTTGGGAAAGGGTGTTTAATCCGTTGCAGTCCAAAAGAAAATTACTATTATTCTACTTAATTCTCTACAACTATTTATCTTAGTGAAAAACGCTTCAAAGCTCAAACTACAAAAAATCAATCATTTGTCAACTGTTAATATTGGATGCAATAATAGTCAACTACCTTACCATTTGAGTTTGAAAGAAATTTTCGTTCTCCAAAATTGTTATTTCGACTATGAAAAAGGAGTTTCGAGGAACTTTTTTCTTCTCTTTTCGGTCACAAGGAATTATTCATGAAACATATATGATAAAAGAAATATGTTATATGTATTCATCATCAACACTTTATAATGCAAATCCATACATTTGAAGGAACGTAACACAAATTGAAGGAATGTTATTAACAAGTGAAAAGAAAGTGCCAACTACAATCCACCAGACTTGTTGGTTTGCTTGTTCCTGCTACTTGGTAAGAACAAGCATTGGATTGGTCAAGTAACAGAAGGCTCTCTACAAAAGAATCCATGGACTCGTAATTCCGTCCCTCTCCAACTCCAGAATACCTAACTTGTTTGGTCTTAAAATCCACCATTACAAGTCTGATATCTTTTGTGCTTTTGAACACTTGTTCGCCGTTGCTTATAAAACCAACATGGTAGACTGAAGAGACTGTTAAATAAGAAGAGTATCCAAGATAACTCTAATGATCCCAAGAAGAAGAAAATAGAGCACACTCTTAAAGAAAGCTCACAAAACAAACTAATTAGCAAAGCTTTTCTTATTTAGCTCTAGGCTTTGTTTTTCCTTGGATGATATACAATGCTTGGGGACTTGGGTATTTATAGCAAACCAAATGAAAGCTACATCACACACTTAATTAAACTAAGATTATTTACTACCACACAAAACCCATTAATTGCACCTAATTTTTTCCACTCAACCATACCTAACATTGCCTAACTTTGCAATTGTAAGCAATTACATCATCAAACTAGATATGGACTTGGACCTTAGATTGGGTTGTGGATTACTTATGGTTTTGGGCTGACATTGATTCTCAACACTCCCCCTCAATGT